AGGTAATAAATTCTCAAAAACAATAAAAATAACTTCGAAACAACTCTTTGATGGACATGTAATTTTACCATTTATTAAAGATGAAGGCAAATTTGCATACTAATGAGATGAATGTAGGTTTGTTTATTTTCACCGGAAGTAGAACAAGGCTATGGACTCTCAAAGCCCTCCCCCAGGTGGACTCCTCCAGCAAGACTACATTTCCCCATAACCTTCCCAAACAGCACCACTAACTGCCAGGTGTTCAAATGCCTTCTCATTAAACCACCACATAGGGTTTCTCACTAGCCTACAACTCTTCAGGCAGGCTAGGCTGGCTGGCCAAGGGGCCTAGGGATCTGCCTATCTCTGCCTAAAAAGTTTGGTATGGTAACATGTATTATTATTATTATTATTATTGGTTTTTAGAGATAGGGTTTCTCTGCTTAGCTCTGGCTGTCCTGAAACTTTCTCTGTAGACCAGGCTGGCCTTGAACTCGAAGATCTGCCTGCCTCTGCCTCCTAAGTGCTGGGGTTAAAGGCATGCACTGTGATACCTTGCCCAAAGAGCATTTTGAAGGTATGGCTAATGAATGAATGATCTGTGACTGATGCTTCAACAAAATTGAAATAAATGAATGAATAGGTAAGACAATCAGTAAATTAATGAATGAATTGTCGATTCTTGGGACTTTCCTACTTTAGGTCTTTTAAGATCAAGAGCCTTCTAGAAAACATTACTATAGAGCTGGTGGCCCTTAGAAGGTGACCTTCTGCTCTGGAGGGACATTTAGTAATGTTTAGAGATGCATTTGGTCTTCACAACTGGCCTGAGTGCCATTAACATTTACAGAGTAACGTACCGGAAAGAAGAGCATTATTGGTGTGTGTGTGCGCGCATACACACACACACACACACACACACACACACACACACACACACACACAGAATCCCAAAAGTCATGGCTAATAATGAAATAAAATTACAATGAGTTAAAAGCATTCATTTGAAGACATTTCAGGATATATAGTGAGAGACTACAACTTCATTGAAATAGCCGTGATTCTCTTAATGAGTGTCTGAATGCATCTTAATAAATTTCAGGGGAGAAGAGTCCTAATTAGTAAAATGAACTCACATTTAGGGTGTGATTGGTAGCTATCTTTGCCTTTAAATGTCTTACACTGTGAATACGTTCATTTATTAAAACTTCTCAAAGTTCCCTTTTCCTATTTATTAGTGACTTTTGCTAAATCTCTTATCTATGGATCCATGGTCAATACTAAATACATTAAACTGAAATTTAGAAAACATTCAAAGAATTTCACTTACTAAGATATTAATGTGCATTCACCAGGACTCCATTTAGTACTGAAATATTTATTAATACATTAATGAATTATTAATTCCTTTATTTTATTCATTACTTAACATCTCAGCACTTTTGAATTTTAATTTCTTTGAAAAAAAATCCAAATAGATTTTGCCAGTTTATGGAGCTTACTATGATAACCTACAAAAAATATTGTTAATCTACAAAAAAAAATTGTTCTCCAAAGGGAAAGTACATTTCAGAGAATTTGGCTTAGCTAGGCCGCCTAAGCTCTACTAAGCCTACATATGCCAGGTAAACAGAAAGTGTATAATTAGTGCGCAAAGATGAAGTGGGACAGAAGGCACAGAACAGACAAATTAAACAGTATGCTAAAGGGTGGCAGCAACTGCTATGGTGTGGTTCAGTTAGTTACCAGCAGGAAACATTAAGATTGTTCTGATTTCAAAAAGTGAAGTGTGGATGGTTCCTCTCTGCACATAAAAGCCATATTCATTTTGTGTTATCATCATGATAGTAACTTTAAACATTAACCGTTGTTATGCTTAGAATACCTGGGCACTGATTCTTTGAGTGCCACAGCTCAGTTTTTCCCTTTCAATGTAGCAGGTACATTCATGGCTATTGTGTGCTAAGAACAAGGCTCAGTGAGAGGACCAGGAATTAAATTCTGTTCAGAACAGGATCAGTTTCACATTAAAATGAATGTCAGGGACAGGTAAAAACTATTGAAGACACAGATGAAAGCTATGTATTAAGAAAATACATAAAGCCAGGAGTGCTGGTATACACCTCATGGCTCCTGGGAAGGGGCTGAAGACAACACATATTTGAGGTCATGCTTCAAAGACCCACTTCCTCCAACTAGGCCACACCTCCCATTATTTCCACCACCACCCCCAACAGACCATTAAGTTATTAATCCATCAGTGGATTAAGCTGTGTATGGTGTCACAGAGCCCTCAGGACCCAATCACCTCCCAAAGGCCAACCTCTGGAAACTGCTGTGTTGGCGACATTTAAGATACAAATCATAGCAACTACTGAAAACACAGTGTTGTGATTTAAGCTTAAACTCCTGAGCCAGTAATAGATTACATCTGGGATGCCCTACCGCTCCCATGTTGAAAGCCTGGCCCCCAGTTGAAAGTAGCACCTGAAGGTAGTGGAAACTGTAAGAAATGGGACCTGAATATAGGGAGTAGGACGTGACATGGGGTGGGACTTGGAAGGCTGTGATTTGTCCCTTGGCATTGTACCCCAACCTCCCCCCCCCCCCCCCCCCCCGCCCCCGTCACTCCTCTCGCTGCTCCCACCATGTGGGTGCCGGGGATTCAGTTCAGGTCGTCAGTTGGAAGCATCTCTACTCACCAAGTCATCTCACCAGCACCTGGATTTTTTTTTTCAATTAACTCTTGCCTGAAATGTTTAAGGTGTTGGTTGCTTTTATGAAGAAAACTGTATTCCACATTGACCTCAAACTCAATATGTAGCCGAGGATGGCCTTGAACTTCTCTGATCCTCTTGGCTCCAACTCCAGAGTGCTGAGATGATAGGCATGTTCTGTTTTGTTTTGGTTTTTCGAGACAGGGTTTCTCTGTGTAGCTCTGGCTGTCATAAAACTTGATTTGTAGACTAGGCTGGCCTGGAACTCAGAGATTCACCTGCCTCTGCCTCCCAGGGTGCTGGGATTAAAGGGATGTGCCACCACCTCCTGGAGACAGGTATGTTCTAACCATGCCGGCTTTATGCGATTCCAAGGGTTGAGCTCAGGGTTTCATACATTCTAGGAAAGCACTGAACCAACTAGACTACAGCCTCAGGCCTGAAAAACAGCTAAGATTAAGAGTATTCTCTGCAGAGAAACCCTGTCTTGAAATACCTCCCCCCCCCAAAAAAAAAGAGTATTCTCTGTCTCACTGTCCCCCACCCCCAGTGTGTGTGTGTGTGTGTGTGTGTGTGTGTGTGTGTGTGTGTGTGTGTGTGTGTGTGTGTGTGCTGGGAATGAATCATGTGGTTAGTCATAAGGTCCTGATGCCTAGTGGCTTGGTTTGGTTTTTTTTTTTTTTGTTGTTTTTTTTTTTTGGTTTTTCGAGACAGGGTTTCTCTGTGTAGTTTTGCGCCTTTCCTGGGACTCACTTGGTAGTCCAGGCTGGCCTCGAACTCACAGAGATCCGCCTGGCTCTGCCTCCCGAGTGCTGGGATTAAAGGCGTGCGCCACCACCGCCCGGCTTTGGTTTGGTTTTAATGGGTAAAATGAATGAACTTCACAGAAGCAAACAGGTCATCACCCCTGCCCTTGAGAACATCACCATCTAGTGGAGAGACAGAAATACAGACAAACCTAAAAGAGAAGTTGTTACATTTTGAAAGACTCATAGATTTTAAAGCTATAAAGAGCCAAACTGACTCATTTTGCCTGGGGAATCAGGCTTTTCAAAAGGTGATAATATTTGAGCCCACTTTTGAAAGATTTATAGATATTTTGAGTGGAAAAAAAAAAACAAAGACCTAACAGATGGTCAGAAATTACTTCAGAAAGTTCCCGCTCCTGTGCTGGTCTGCAAATTTGATGGTTTAAATCTGCCAGGGGCATGTTCGGTTTGGGCACAAGAAAGATGGGAGAATGAGGCCGGGAATGTAGTAGTTCGGTAGTCGGTAGTCAAAGGTTTTAAATGCAAAGTCGCTTTGCGCTGGTGTCTCCTGGCAGGACAGTTGTCATTGACTCCGTCCATCGGAAAGAGACTGAGTCAAGAAAGACAAAATCACCTGCTTGCTGGGTGTCCGCCAGTGTAAGGAGAAATTAGGAGGCCGCGGTGGGGACTCCTGGAAGAACACATTGAGGGCAACATCCTCAGCTTTAGGATCAACTGAACTGTGAAAGTCTTAGCAAGGAGGAATAGAAGTAAAATTCCACACCAATGTTGATCACGTGCAGATCGGAGAGCCCAAGGCAGAGTACAGTACCACCCGCCCCCGACCTGCAAAATCTGGTCCCGTCCTGCAGTCAAGATGTGAAAAGTGGCTTTAATGAAGAAAGTGGGAAAAAATATAAAAGGAGACACTTCTCACAAGCTGAACAATCTTAATTAGTCCTGGATTTCTGGAGGAAATGAGGCCACCATTCTGGGCTCGCCCCGCCCACAGCATCACACTTGACATTCTAGAAATAGCTGCTTCTCCGTTCACCAACACAAGTTGCTGCTGTCCCTCTGGCTTTAGGTCATGATGTGCCCTCTGTCCCCTTCTGTCTCATAAGCCACCTAAGATCAGCTTAAAAGACTAAGCTCATTTTTTTTAAGCTGACAAAAATTTCCTGCCCTGCTAGGTGACCTTGTTTTTTATTATTTTATTTTATTTTTGTTAGTTTATTTTGTTTTGCTTTGACAGGATTTTGCTGTAATTTAGCCCTGGATAGCTTGGAACTCGCTCTGTAGACCAGGCTAGCCCAGAACTCACAGAGGTCCGCTTGACTCTGCCCAATGAATGCAGGGGTTAAGGGTGTGCACCACCATGCCCAGCTTTTTTAAAACAATGTTTCTAAATATTTATTTTATTTTAATTATGTGTGTTTGTGTGGGGGTATGTCCATGTGAGTTTGGGTGCCCAGAAAATACCCTAAATAGCCAAAGCAATTTTGAGCAAAAAGAATAATACTGAAGAGATTGCTATTCCTGACTGTTGCAGGAATCCTAATTGGTCTTATAAAAACCCGGAGCCAGATATCAGGGTGACAGTGGAAAGATCAGAGAAGCAGAGCAAGCCACAGCCATCACCTCTTACCTCACCAACTCCTCAGCCTGAAAGAACCTGAGTTCCTGTCTCCTCCTGCCTTATATTCCTTTCATTGCCCAGCCATATCACTTCCTGTCTTAACCTTCCTCGTGGTGGGATCAAAGGTGTGTGATCCCAAGTGCTGGAATAAAAGGTGTGTGCCTCCACTGCCTGGCTCTGTTTCTCTTTTAGACTGGAGTAATCTCATGTAGCCCAGTGTGGCCTTGAACTCACAGAAATCCAGACGGATCTCTGCCTCTGCCTCCTGAGTGCTAGGATTAAAGGTGTGTGCCACCACTGCCTGACCTCTAATCTAATCTAGTGGTTTCTTCTGTCCTCTCATCCTCAGGGAAATTTTATTTGTTCAAAATATCATCACACCTGACTTCAAGATTATTAGAGAGCTAAAGTAATCAAATTAGCGTGGAACTGGCACAGATGTGTAGACCAATAGAATTAAATAGAAGACCAAAGCATGAGTATCCATAATTATAGCTGTCCGATCGATATTTGACAGAGTCAAAAAACATGCTGAACAAAAGACAGCATCTTCAACAAATGGTGCTTGGGAAATGGATGCCCACCCTCAGAAGAATGAAATTAGACCCGTATCTATCACCCTGAACAAAAATTAGATCCAAGTGGATCGGATCAAAGGCCTCAATCTGAAACCTGAAACCCTAAAACTACTAGAAGAAAACATGGGCAGTACCTACAGGACATATGTGTAGGGAGGACTTCCTGAACGGGATTCCACTTGCCAAGGAATTAAGGCCAACAATTGATAACTGGGATCTCATAAAACTAAAAAGTTTCTTTACAGCCAAGGAAACAACCAAGTGAGGAAGAACCCCACAGAATGGGAGAGAGTACTTGCCAGATACACATCTGACAGAGGATTGATATCTAGAATATACACAGAATTTAAAAAAAAAAAAAAAAGGTCTAGGAAGCAAATAACCCAATTGAAAAATGGCTTAAGAAGATCTAAATAGAGTTCTCCATAGAAGAAATAAAAAGCGAAGAAATACCTCAGAAAGTGTTCATCATCCCTAGCAGGTAGGGAGGTGTAAATTAAAACAACTGTGATATTTTCTCTCACCCCAGTCAGAATGGCTAAGATCTATAAAACAACAGGCTACAAATGCCGGTGAATCTGTGAAGAAAGAAGAACTTTCATTTGATGTTTCAGGAATGCAAGTTGGTGCAGCCTCTGTGGAAATCAGTATGGAGCATCCTCACAAAACTAAACGCTGAATCTATCACATGACCCAGCTATACCATTCCTTAGCATATGCCCAAATGACTGGGCATCCTAGTCCACAGATACTCGCTCAGCAACGTTCACTGCTGCCCTGTTCACAATAGCCAGGGAATGGCAACAACCTAAATGTTCTTCCACAGATAATGAGAATGTGGCACAAATACATGTGTCATGCTCAGCTGAGCCTTCACCCACAAACCACAATGCAATTTTTTTTTGTTGGGTTTTTGTTTTGTTTTGGTTTGGTTTTTTTGGGACTTGAAGTAGTCCCCATGTTCAAGTACAACCCCTTCCTGAATTTTCTCCTTCTTCTATCTTGCTCTTTATTTCTCATTGTGAAAATTGTTAGTTAGAACAATTCATCCAGCTACCAAACACTGAGAAAATTCTTTTAATTCACAGAATCTTTTATAGATCTAGTTTGGTCCAGCCAAAAATAAGGAAACAAGAAATACTTGGCTACCTGGTACTTGTTTTCATGTTCCAATGAAACCAAATTACTTAAAACATTGAAAACGTCCAAGTAATTCACCCCACCTTTTCTGAATTATACTAGAGAACCAGAGAATATTCATGTAATAAAATTCTTTTGTTTAGCTGAGATTTATGGAAAAAAATTCTCTTTATTTAGGTCCTATCATGTCAAGATTAGATTCAGTCACGGCAACAGGAAATTCCAAATAATAGAGGCTGAAACATGTGGAGATCTATTTTGTCACCTGTAAGAAATCCAGATGTGGTCATCCAAGCATGGGACGACAGCTCTGCCATACAGGAGAGATTCAATTTCTTGTATTAATGATTCACCCTGGTTCAAGCTGCTTCACGTTGTTTAAATTATCTTTCATCCATGCTCCTGTGAGCAGCTCACTGGGACACACACACACACACACACACACACACACACACACTGGAAGAGGGACTACTTGGGAAAAGGAAGGTGATCAGCTGAGGTGGGAAGGAAATAAGAGAGGGTAATGGGGATCCGTATGATCAAAATACATTATACACACACGTGTTAAAACTCTTCCTTAGTGTAATACATTATTATATATAATTAATATATTCTAACAGACACATGAAAGGAGGCTGAAGTTGTAGCTGGTGTCAGATTCTAGGTCGGAAGCAGGAAAGGTAAAGGAGAGACCAGCTTTCCTGAGCTGTTTCTTCTGGAGACCCCTGCCAGCTTCCTGGAGGAGACCCCTGCCAGCTTCCTGGAGACCCCTGCCAGCTTCCTGGAGACCCCTGCCAGCTTCCTGGAGACCTCTACCAGCAGCCTAACAGCTCTGGGCTCCATCTCATTGGCCAGAACTTAGTCACATGGCTGCACACAATCAACGGAAGTTGGGAAATGGGTTTGTTTTCAAATGTAGGACCATACTTACCTCGGTAATATAAAGTTTATCTTGATTAAAAGTAAAGTTAAAAATAAGGAGCTGGGGTGAATGGGTGGGTACTAATCATCCATCCCACAAATGTCAGCTCTTGTTGCTTGGGAAGTCCCAAATGCACTGGTGTAAAAAAAGGATAGGACCTAATACACCTAAAAAAAATTAAGTTTTTTTTTAATTTTATTTTATGTGTATGGATGTTTTGCCTACATGCGTATCACCTTATGTACAATATCCACAGAGACCAGAAGAGGGCATCAGAACTTCTAGAACTGGAGGTACAGATTGTTGTGAGTCACCAAGTGGGTGCTGGGAATAGAACTGAGGTCCTTTGCAAGAGCAACTAGTGCTCTTATCTGCTGAACTATCTTTCCAGCAATTTTTGTTTTATTTTTACGCGTGTGTGTGTGTGTGTGTGTGTGTGTGTGTGTGTATGTTAATTGTGCGTGTGCATATAACAGTGCCTGAGGAGACCAGAAGAGGACCTCAGATCCCCTGGAACTGCATTATATGGAGAGGTGAGCTGCCCCAGCACACAGAAGAGAAACAGATTATATATAATTTGTATTTTAAGGTTCTGGATAGGTGGGAATCAAATTGATATTACCACCCCACCACCACCTCTTTTCCACTATTCTATAAAACAAGCCTAGCAAGCTCTTCATCCAAGACACCCAAGTATTCTAGTTTGCTTTCTGCTACTGTGACAAACTTGGGGACAACTTGTGACAACTTGGGGAGGAAAGGGCTTATTTCATTTTACAGATTGTCGTCTGGTGTTTTATATCTGTGGCACAGCAGCTGCACCTGATCCTATCGCTGCCTCACATGCTGCTGCTGCCTCCTCCTTGCTGCGGAGACTGCAGCCGGTGGGGGGGGGGGGGGGGGGGGGGGGGGGGGGGGGGGGGCGGCTTCATGTCTGCCACCTCCATATAGGGAGGCAAATGTTGTTTTAACTAAGCATCTTTCTATTTTACCAATAAAGACTCAGGAGCCATCCCTCAGACGCTGGGGTGAAAACCTACTAGCTCAGAGAGGTAGAGAAAGCAGCCGGATGAACTTCCTCCACTGCCATCATCTTAGAAAAAGACTTTTCTGATCCGGTCTGAAACAAACAAACAAACAAACAAACAAACAAAACCTCCAACCGGATGTCCCTCCCTTCTGCTTCCTGTGCCTCTCTTTCTCTGACCTCCCAGCTTCCCCTCACTCTCTTTGGTTACTTCCAGGAAACTGGTTGCTTCCTCCATCTCTTGACCTATGGTTGGTTTTATTTAAATAATGCAATTTTGGGGTTCACAGTATAATCAAATACCCCGCAACAACAATCCATCATTGAGAGGAAGCCAAGTTAAGAACTTGGAATTGAGGCAAAAACTGAAGGAGAAACCAGGGGAAAATGATGCTTCCTGGTCTGCTTCCTCTGGCTTGCCCAGCTAAGTTACCTTCGAAGCCCAGTTCCACCTGCCAAGGGATGTGGTACCACCCACAGTGGTCTGGACCCTTGGACATCAATTAGCAACCAAGAAAATGCTCCACAGACATGCCCACAGGCCAATCTGTCAGGGGCCATTCGTCAGTTGAGAGTCCCTCTCTCTAGAGATGACAAGTTGACAACCAAGCTTGGCCACCACAGGAAGGCACCCACCACACTCTGCTTCTCATCAGAGTTATTGGTGTCCATCTGTTTTCAGAAAGGGAGTGGCAGAGCTTGTTTTTCTTCCCTGGGATCACAGCTGCACTTACAGGGTAATATGCCATCCACGGATGTTAGCAGAATCAAAAGAAGTTGTTGAGAATCCTTGCTTCTGTTCACAGTCTTCAAAAATGTCCCTCAGCAAAGACAGGAGGTAAGGCTTCTGTCGCTTTCTTTTACCTCGGGATGCCCAGAGTCCCCGTGTCCATCATGCTTCTTGCTGAGCCACCTTTGGTGGTTGGAATTAAAATGTCCCAATAGCTGGGCGGTGGTGGTGCATGCCTTTAATCCCAGCACTTGGGAGGCAGAGCCAGGCGGGTCTCTGTGAGTTCGAGGCCAGCCTGGTCTACAGAGCGAGATCCAGGACAGGCACCAAAACTACACGGAGAAACCCTGACTTGAAAAACAAAACAAAACAAAAAAAAAATGTCCCCGATAGTCTGTGGTATTCGAACACTTACTCTCCAGCTGGTGGTGCTGTTTGGGGAGGTGATGGAACATTTAGGAGGCAAAGCCTAGCTGGAAGAAGTTTGTCACTGAGAGTGAGCTTTGAGGATTTACAGCCTCACCCCACTTCTTCACTTTCTACTTCACATTTATGGTTGAAGATGCGGTCTCTTGACTTCCTACTCTGTCTGCCTGTTGCCATGCCTCCCCCCCATCATTGTGGACTCTCCCTTAAATTGCTCCTGGTCATGGTGTTTTATCACGGCAACAGAAGAGTGAGGAATACGGCCAACTGTCCTCTTGCTGGGGTAGCTGTGGGGCAGCTTTGACTCCCTGGTCTCTTCTCTAAACCTACACATTTCTGGGATTGACCCAAGATCTCAGCCCCTTGATTTTACAGATCAAGAAAATAAGTCCCCTGGTGCTGGAGAGATGGAACAGTGATTAAGAGTACTTCCTGCTCTTGTGGACAAGGGTTCAGTTCCAGCTCCCATAAGGTGGCTAACAACCACCTGTAACTTCTGTTCCAGGAGATCTGATGCCTTCTTCTGGCCTCCCTGAGCATCACATGCATATATAGAGCACTTACATGCATGTAGGCAAAACCCTCATACACATAGAACTAAACAGAGAAAGGAAGAAAAGAGGGCCCAGAAAGGTGTTGAGTATTGCCTTGTTCATAAAACCAACTAAGCACAGAAGACAGACAGACCCCGGGTCTCCTCGCTCCAAGTCCATTGCTCTTCTAACTCGCTTTGCTTCAAATCCTGCAGCTTGAGCCCTTTGTCCTCAGGCTGCCACCAAGGATTGGTAAAGACCTGCTGTTAACCAGCTTCATTAGCCCTCTCTGTCCTAACTACAGCCATTGGTGCTGTGACTCCTGGTGACAGACATTGGAGAAGGGTTACAGCAGTCCCTGCCACCAGCCTGTTGTGAAGTCAGTCACAGAACTGTTTGTTGTTGTTTGTTTTTCTGCCTCTCAGTCTCAGACCCGGTCTGTGTAAGACCTGCCCATTTCCCACAGTGCACTTTCTTGACACTGTGTGGTTAGTGGCATTCTTTGACAACAGTCCAGTCCATGTCCCGTCTCCCCACCCCACCTCCCGGCACTCCACAGAAAGCATGGCAGCAGAATGGCAAGCAGGAAAGCGCTCAGCGCCCGAGCCTGTTGTAATTCCTGTGAAGGGTTTCTGAAGTTCCTCAAAACGGTCATGAATGGAGCTTTTCAACAGCACTTGGAAAGGAGTCAGAGAACTTCACTCTGAGACGGAGCCAACGAGGTAATGAAATTCAGTGAGTGCCACAGAGGAGCTATATGAATGCCTCTGGACAGGACAGAAGCCAGCCAGCTGGAGCAGCCAAGCGCAGCTACTTCCACAAAATGCATTTGCCCGAAGAACCTGAATGCTTTTCAAACCATGGCATTGTACTTTTCCATGAAGTGTCATATGTTCTGCATTCTTAGTAAAGCTACAGATCCAAATTTAAATTATATTTTAGTTTGGCATAGCTTATTTTTTGTTTTTTGGTTTTTTTTTGGGGGGGGGAACCTTATCAGAACTGGATTATTATCAGAACGTCTAATGAGTGGGGTTCTGAGGAAGCAAGGCAGGCTTTCAAAAAGAACGATTTATTTTTATTCTGTGTGTATGAGTGTTTTATCCAAATGTATGCATGCATACCACATACATGTGTGGTCCCCAAAGAGCTCAGCGGAGGGTGTGGGGGGCCCCCTAGAACTGGAGTTACAGAGGGTTGTAAGCCACCACAGGGGTGCTGGCAATCCAACCCAAGTCCTCTGCAAGAGCATCAAGTACTCTTAACTGCTCAGCCACCTCTTTGGCACAACATTCTTTCAAAAGATGATCCCTGATAGGACGACTGTGGCAGACAACGGCCTTTCCTACCGTTTGTGATTATAGAATTGTAGGTCCCTGATGCTGGAAATGACCTTATAGTGCACCTACTTAACATGTATCTTAGAAGGGAAAAACTAATGTCTGTAGCCTGATAATATAGAAATTGTCTTATTTTGTAAAAGCGGTTCCAGTTCAGGAGCAGGAGTCAAGAGTAAGAACCAGGACACTCGGTTACAACCGCATCATGTTGGGACTGAGTGTGTAGAGTAGGACTGACGGACACCAACGCTCCATGCCCTCTCCGTGTCTTAAAATGATTCCTGTAATACTGTCTGCCTCATAAGAAGTGGATCGCACCTAGGTTTCCTTTGGGAAATGAGTGGCTACAGGCCTTAGTGCTAACACGCAAATAATAACCTCTCTTCTTTTATACACCTTAGAAAATAACTTAAGTGGGTTTCCAGATCCTTCTCAGAGCAATTTCTTTACTTCAAAAACTAGGATAAGACATACTTTCTAAAACAGGCATGGTATAGTGCACACATGTAATCGCAGAGATTGGACATTGAGGAAAACTGAAGGTTTGAGGCTAACCTGGACTACATAGCTAGAACATATCTCAGACAAAAAAACAACAACAACAACAACAACAACAAAAAAACAAGACTCTTTGAAGATGCACTTGTGGCCATCCAGTTAGGTAACACATGGAAAAGTACTTTTAAATCCACGTGAAAGAATCGGGTTGGTCTATTTAATTTATATGTACACATTTCAGCAAGTGTGCATTAAGGAATCAACTCTGGTGGATCCCATGCTAGAGACCTGGTATATAAGGGGTTAAACGGATCCCAGTCCTCCAGGAATCTATAAGGATGGCGCTTTTCTAGTCCAAAACTCAAAGGAAAAGTAACCAGGCCAGCCTCACCCTGTTATGTTCTGTCGTGGCGTTTTCTACTTCTTTCCCGCCTAGCACTGTCTCAATTTTAGTTAGCTGAGCAATTGTTTCACTTGGTCTGGGTCAGTCACTAGCTTCTTAGTTCCGTGGGAACATGTCCTTTTTTTCCCCCTGAAGCTCAGCGCCTAGAGTGTGTAGCTGACACAGAAAACACTAACAAATATTTGTTGAGCATTTGAATGAACTAATAAAAAATCATCTAATACAGTGCAGCTCATATTAATACATTAGGCTTTCGCAGTACCGTGGCAATCTATAGCAGTATTTAATACGAGCCCTTATGGAGCTGCTTTCCAGAGCCTTGTTATTGAGACATAGTCTTACACTGCCCCCGAGTTAGTGGCTTGAACCCCCCGGAAATCCACCTGCCTCAGCCTGCTGAGCACACGAAGGAGGATTACAGGCATGAGCGAGGAAGACTTTTTTTTTGGTACAAGTGTATACTGCATGCTGAGGATAGCCTTCCATATTAAAAGAAAATCACGAAATTCTCCAGACACCTATACACGGGTAACCTGCCAAAACTCAGCTTAAACTCCTTATCTGTGAACTATCTAGGTCGTGTCCGCAAAAGCACAACAAGATTGCTTGGGTGACTCAAAGGCCCACGCAGAGTCCAATTAGATCACCTCTGGAGGAAGGCCAGATTGACAGGCTGGCGCAAGGCGGGGACCTAACCAGTCGCCACGTCGGACTCTCAGCGGCACGACAGACAGCGAGTCACACGTCCCAAACCGTACCTTCCCTCCGTGCCGGGGACTCGTCCCGCGCCTGCGCGGCTCCGGAGCGGCTTGCGCCTGCGCAGCACCCAGGCCCGCCTCTCGGCGCGCGCTGACAGCTTCCGGCCTGGCGTCCCC